TGAAATTGATAAAATTAAATATTTTTAATTGTTTACGATACCACAATCATTCCATCGTGCAAAGATTTTATTTTATTATCAATAAAATAATTAATTAAACATTTTTATTAGATACATATTTATAAAATAAAAATATATAATAACATATGCTATGTATATACTTATATAGATTATTATATTGCAAAAACATCAAAATCATATATATGTATATATATATGTACGTATATTTCAAAGTTACTGAATAGAAATTGTGATAATTCTTGGCTTGAAAAAGACGATAATAACGAAAAGGCATAAGCCGACAAAAAACGATAATTATTTTTTTCTTTTTTCGGCTATTGCAGATATATATTTACTGGGAACATATCATTTTAATTTTAGCTTTTTCATTAACGGTCTATCAATATTACCATATTTGAGCTAATCGATAGAATGCCAATTTTTGATACTATTTTCATCATTATAATTTACTTCTCTCTATAATTTTTCATTATAATATATAACTTTATATGCTACATGCCATTCTGAAAAAAATATTCAATTTTTTACATAATTGTATTAATATCATATTATAATCACATTAATATTTATATGATTAAGTAAAAAAAAAAAATAAAATAAAATAAAACAAAAATATAATACAGAGAGATAAGATCTTTATATTTTTAATTTTTTATTTAATGGATAAATATTTGATTAATCATATTTATTAATTATATTATTAATTATTCAATATATCTTAATTTTTCAATCATTTTTTTTCTACTAATCTTAATCATAACATTATCACATATACGTATATACTTATATACATATGTCGTACATTATTCATTAGTATCAATAAAAATCAGATTAATCAGATTTTTTTGTACTAAAAATAATTTTGGCATTATCAATTAAACTTACTTTGTACACGACATAAATTAAAATATGTTCTACTTGTTTCAATACAAATTTTTTAATTCTTATCTAACATAATATATGATAAAAAAAAATTTTAATGATATAAAAGGATTTAAATTTAAACGATTATCTATTGTTAAAACTACGCATTCTTTGATTAAAAGAAAATGAAAAATATTTACTTACCCTAACATTTCGCTGCACCTTTTTTCTTTTTCGCACGAAAAAGAATTTTGATCGAAAAAAAAAAAAATAAAATAAGCTCGAACCGAATACCGGCACTCGCGGGGAAGATCTACATGCGATTCTTGTGACAGATCCTCGTGGATCTCCCACCTGGAAGAGATGAAACTTTCTGACGCGCAAACTCCAACAATCCTGCCTTCAACAACGTTCAACGAACTTTGCATGTTATCGTTTATTCGTTGCTTTCTTTATTCTTTTGTTTTTTGTAGCTCCATGTTCAAAGCATTCACAATACTCACAATCATCAGTTCCTTTGTTTCTTTCTTTTTTTTCGTTACAATTTTTTCCCATTTTGACCTTCAGTTATGTTTGGCCAAATACTATATTTTACGAAGCTTTATATGAGTATAGCATAAAGAAATTAAATGAAACATGAAAAAAAAACTTAAACAAAAAATGGTCCCCTCGATCAAAAGGAATTAACGGGTACAATTTATGATAAAATAATTAATTAATTTTATGGAATACGTGACGAATCATTCGGCATTGTCATCTTTGTTCGAGTAACAAAATTATTGGTCTCTGTTATTCGACGCAAAGAATGAGGGAAATGGATTATAAGTACACGTATGAAAAATATTTTTCTTTATATTGCATATAATATATAATAATAAAATTATGAATTATATTGAATTATTTTAAAATTATGAATTATATATCATTGATTCTTGTTATTGTTGTTTTCATATTTACAAGCTATTGACTAATTTAATATTTCTCTTCGTGTTCCGAGAATACAAAGAAATTTTCTAACAAATTAAACAGAAATATGAAAAATATTTTTTTTCGCTAATGTAAAAATAATAAGAAAATGTTATATTATTATATTACATATTAAATGTTCATATTTATGTGAATATTATATATTAAATGTTTTATATTTATGTGAATATTAGCATATACTTGTATATTAGTATACATTAATAAAATATTTAATAAATATTAATAATACATATGTGTTTCATTACTTATTTTATTTTTATACTTAATTTAGATAATTAAATTTTGTTTTGTATAAAAAATCTATTTAATAATTATAAATATATATGAATAATAATAATATATGTTTAACAGATGAATCTAAATTTCAGATCTAAACTTTGCCAGTATCCTTATTATTATATTCAAAATATTTCAAAAAACTATATCAAATTATCATTATATCTCACAATCAATTTTTTAGAGCACTAAATTATAAAATTGAAAATTATATATTAGATCGTTTCTTTTTTGTTATTATTGATTAATAATAATTATAAAATGATTTACAATTATTTGAAATTTTTGAAATATTAATTTTTTTTAAAAATTTAGAACTATATATTTTAAAAATATTATATATAAAGAGAAGATTTTTGATTTTCTTAAATCGAATAATATATTTCACAATGAAAGATCATAAATTTCATCTTTTTATATTCTCAATTTTATATTCTCTACAAATATTTTTTTATATTTTACATAAAAATTAAACTTTTAACATAATTTTTTTTAATATATTTTAAAACTTCAAAAGAAATAATTTCTTGTTAATTCCTTGAGATTTACGATTCATAACAATTTTTCATTCTTATTATTACATTATTATTATTATTATTAAATTCTTATATTCAATAATTTATAAATTTATAATTTTTAATATGTTTTAAAATAATACAATGAAATTGATAAAATTTTAACCATTCAAGTCTTATTCATTATTGAAAATATATTCCATAATGGCTCAAATTGTTATATTGTTATATTAACTTTTCATCTTTATTTATTTTATTATTTTGACATATATACATACATATATATATGTATATATATATATATACTATAAAAATTATATACTATATATATACTATAAAAATTTCATTTTTTTATATTCTCTACTAAAAATTAAAAATTAAAAAAAAATTTTTTTTAAAAATAAAAATTATTCGAAACTAGTTTGATTAAAATTAAAATAAAACGCGATAAATCTGCATTATGGCTTTATTTTCTTTTTTTCTATACATTCACATATTATATACGCTTTTACAAAGCTGAAATAAATGAGAAAATAGAACATGTATATTATTATTGTAATTTTGAAAAAAGAAAAGGACATATTTAATAATTTTAATCTTAAACTTTGAATGATCACAATTCACAGGTCATTATTACATGTACACATTCATATTCCATAAATAAAAATTCTTTCTTATAAGAATAATTAGATTTAATAAATTTGTGTTTTCTTTGTCTCTTAAGAGATAATTGAAAGATTATTAAAATTAAAAAAATTGAATGTTGATTTCATCGAAACTTATGAATCATTTATTTTATTGGATTAAATTTTTTCATATTTATATTTGCTTTTCTCTGGTTATTGATTAAAAACCATCGAATATCAAAATCATGAAAATAAACATTTCCAACACCTTAACATTTTTATTAAAAATCGCATGAAATATTTAGTTTTTGGTAGAATCTTTTTTAAACATATCACAAATTAACCAATAAAATCAATTATTCTTTATAAATTTGAATTATTATTAATTTTAAATCATTAAATTTATGAAAAAAATTCAAAAATTTGAAACATAGGCTATTTGTTAAAATATGAAAAATGAAAAATGTTAAAATTACGATTATTTTCTAATAATGAAAAAAATTTATTTTTTAGAATAAAATTTTAAAATTTTGCAAACAATATTTTTTTTAAAATTAATTTTTGACACAATTATTTTGACACAATTTGACATAATTTATCACAATATGAAATTTTAATTTTCTATCTTTTAAGCATAATTTTTAAGCATATATTTTTAAACATAATTTTTTATTTTTTCATCTTCATTTTTATTATTAATTATAATTGTTTAGTTGTACATTATAAATTACATTATAATATGAATATGTTCGAAATTAATGAATCCCTGTTGATTTATAAAAATAATAAATAAATCAAAGGAATGGAAATAAGAACATTCATAAATTTCTTAAAAATGAAAGTATATAAAAAAAGATAAAAATCCAATAAACAACTCTCAATGATGTATGTTTTGTGAATAAAAAATAAAATTCTCAATTATGGGCACGTACTCAATTACTGTCAGTCTATTATTTATGCATTATTTATATAAAATGTAAAATTTATGTTAAAAAATTATATTGAAAAAAAATTAATTAAAAAAATCATATTAAAAAAAATTAAACATAAATTAAATATAATATTTAATAAAAAATAAAAAAAAACTTATTTTATTAATTTTTACGAATTGTTTAAATTTAAAAA